GCCGACATACCATATTTTTTACCCGACCCGGATCCGATCCGGATTCTTCCCCGGCAGTCCCTAGTAAAATCCTCATAACTTTTTACTCTGATGTCGGTTTGATACGGGGTTTTGTGCGTTGCAAACTAGACTTGTAGGCCTTCGATTTAATGGGTAATAGGCCTTCTAACTCTTTATAAATTGGGAGAAAACATCCAATACATTTGACCCAAATTTCAGAGAAATCTTTAAAAAGGAACTTACGATAACTTTCGCCAACTTTTATTTTGCCACTTACTTAACTTCAAAACTTGAGATACAACCCTTGAACACTTAAAATATGACATACCACATCATTTTTAATTTATTACTCACCATCTTTGTCTTTCCACGAATGTACGAATTAATTTAGACGCTTAGCAAAGTCGGGGTGTTACAACATCATAATCTAACACTGAGAGGAAAGATAAAGTAACACAGCTAACTATAACCTCATTGGGCCCATAAGCCCAGAAGGTACACTCATGCGCAATTGAAAGAAAAAAATAACTCAAACAGACCCTAGAAGCCCGATGAGTACACATAAGAGATAATGATATCTCTAGCTAAGACTAAATGTATTCCAGAACTAAAACGACTGACCCCAGACCTAGAACAACGGCGAAGGCACCCCATAGAACCCCATAGAACCAAGATGTCAGGACTCAAAATTGAGTAATAGAAATGGGCCCATACTCGAACCGTGCCTAATAGAAATGTATCTGGACCTCGAATCTTGTCTAGTAGGAATGCGTATGGACCTTAAACCATGGCTAGTAGAAATGCGCTCGAACCTTGAACCGTGGCTAGTACATTCCGAAGAACCTCATAAGAAAATGATCATCATCATAAGGGATATACTGTGAATCAACACCCACTCTTAAAGTCACAAAGGACTCAATTCAGCTCAAAATCCAAGTCCAAACTCAAAGAATCCAACAAGGCCGAAAGTCACTCCTAAATCACGTCGAGGCCATATAAAAGAGAGATTATAATTGTAAATTTAATAAGGGAAGAGTTGTCATCGAGATAAGGATTCACACTATCAAACCCAAGTCAGTTATATCAATCTACAATGAGCTAAAACCATCCAAATCGATGTCAGAAAATTTTCTAAGGCAAACGACTCCAAATAGTAATTCTATGAAAATCATTAGTCTAAGCCTAGACTAAAGCCAAGAGTAACTCACAAGAATCAATGCAGTAGGCATAAAGTTGAACATGGGATGGTAGGCATTACAGAAAAGGTAATGAAAGCTATGGCAAGAATTTTATAACCTAAACAAAATAATAACATCCAATGTAAATTAGGTCTTCCATGTGGGACTAAGTTGTAGTCACCAACATATTTTTGAGAATCTTGACTTGTAGCACATGCAATTTTGAGTTGATCGAAAGAAAAAAATCTTGTCGTTCTCTTATTTGATTCTTAAATATTTGGGCAACCCTTTTACTTCTATATAAGAAACTCTTTGATATCAACGACGCCTCAGAAGCTGCCAAAAAGAGGTCATATTATAAGTCGATATTTATAGCGATATGGTAAGAGAGACATTTGATGCATCTTCATATTAACTCTCTCTCCCCCCCCCCCTACCCCCTAGAACTTGCCCCTATTGTTGAAGATTTCTTTTTCTTCGATATCTCAGAAAAGTCAAAATCTTTATCAAATCCACCAAATTTGAGTTTGCTCCTTGTCGTCGGACTGAAATGATCACGTTCATTTTATGGGATAACATAAATGTTTTTTTGCATACAATATCATTAAAGTTTCTTGCAATCATCACAACTATTGACTTCAGATTTTGAAGATGTGAGAAAAGAGATGATGGACATATTTGGTCCCACTAGATATGCCAATTTATCTGCAATAGATTTTCTCAAATAGAGAAAATAAACCAATGTCACAAAATAAATTTAAAAAAAATAATTTTATATATTAAGGTTATTAGTACTATTTTATGTATTCCCTTGATTCTTTACTCCTAAATTTTCTTTGTGATTCAGAAGTTGATAATAATGTATTTATTGTTTCTTGAATGCAGAATGACTTGCATCTTAATGGCACTTCTATATCTCGAGTTGATCTTGAGGAAAACTGTCTCTTAATTACTTCGATTTTGAGAAAGACAATATTTGATATCTTAGGATGTGTTTGGTATGAATTTGGTATGAAGGAAATGTTTTCCAATTTTCTCATGTTTGGTTGGGTTAAATGTTTTGGAAAATGTTTTCCAAATCAACTCATTTTCCTCAAATTTAAGGAAAATGACTTCCCTTCAAAACTTAAAGAAAACATTTTCCAAAACTGTCTTCCAATTTCAAAGTACAATTTTTTTTGTTGAAAAAATCAATTTATTTTGTCCCTACCCTCAAACCAGCCCCCCAACCACCCCCCCTTCCCCCAAAAAAAATAAAAATAAAATTTAAAGCTTGTTTTTAAAAAATGTTTTTAACTTCAATTTTTTTACCCCACCCTCACCCCTACCACCACCACCCCCAAAAAAAATATTAAAAGTTGTTTTTAAAAGATATTTCTAATGTTTTTAC